TGTCCTCGTTAAACCAAATGTTAATGTCTATGATCACTGTTCTATGAAATCATTAAGGTCTATGTAGTTATGCAGTGGGTTGGACCATCGTTACCTTAAATATGCTAAAGAAATATCCGATTGTATCAATGGAGTTGCTCCAGTTATTCATCTTACTCTATAAGAAGCCTTCGTTGAGTAGCGTGTGAAAGAGGTGGACAATGATATAAATATTTACACACACGCATATTGAAATTAATAATTTACATAAGATCAATATTTTTTTATTCACTTGTTATGAGAATTACAATTCCTATAACGTTTTTTTACTATGTGGATTATAAATTGTAAAACCACTCGTCTTTTAACTAAACAACCCAAATGACTCATTTAAGTCATAGTTTTGAACCCACAAGTTTCAAGAAGTGGATGTGATGTATAGGATATGCGTCCAAGAAATGTATGACAAGTGTTCAAAATCCAAACAATGTATTGTTTAATTGAGTACATGCTCGAATAAATGTATGCATATATGCAAGGAGTGTCCAAGGTGATTCGGTATGTGTCGGGTACGAGTACGGCTTTGGACAGAGGTACCCAGGTAACATAGGTTTTTAGTCATTTTCTATTCTCTGATATGCTGTGTTACAGAGATATAATAGGTTTTGACTTGAAAGGAAATTTATATGTTTGACTGGCACTTTTGGGGCAAAGCTTGAGTGATGGTGGTTCTGATATCCTCTGTTGTCATTGTCAGTTATATATCTGGAAGCAGCATGCATTCTAGTTTCTCCTTTTTGTATTTCTGTATGGCAATGAATTTGTTAGAGGTACTAATCAGTACTCTTTTCTAACCCCCAAGATTCACAACAACAACAACAATAATAATAATAACCCTTAAGAAAACACATGAGAAACTTTGCATACAAAATCTGAATTGCATATGTTTTTTATCTTTTGATGTGCATATTAAGCTGAAAACATTAGTCTGATACCACTGGAACTTGTGAACTTTGCAATATCATCCTTAATTTGTATTTGTTATGTTCTGGCATGGTCAAATTTTTTCGGTTGGGACACCATTCTAAGTATCTCAGCATACTGAAGCATTGTTTTAAATAGCCCCCCGATATATAGTCGGACATATCCTTTCATAGCTGGCAACAACTGATATGGTCTCTAAATATCCTTTACCACTTTTTGGCTATTTTGGGCAATATATCCCCGATATGGCTGATATATCAGCCGATATATTGCCTGATATATCCTTTATATGGTTTCTCATGAAATAATATACTGCCTTTGATAATTTTTGGGCGAGATATCATGATTTGCCATTATATTAAATGACATTTTGGCCTAAAAATTAGATGAAATGTTGCAACGTTGTTCTGTGCTTTTGTCTGTTTTACAAAGTTGATTAGTCATCCTAAACATATATTATGCACATTTTAGATGCATGGATTTCATTAAGTATGTTGAGATTATATTTTAGCGCATTATAATATATGTGCTGTTGGATTTTTTTGGTCAAAACCGCTTTCCAAAATGAGTTTTTAATATATATATATATATATATATATATATATATATATATATATATATATATATATATATTAATTACAAGTACTTTTCATAAATGTTTAGTAGCCTAGTGAAAAGTTAATGTTTTGTTGTTTCAAATGGTTCTTTGTTCAAGGTTTGTCAACGGCAAGCCGAGAAGTGTTTTATTTTAATTAATCACTCATAAGTTTTAGTGGGTCGTGGGTCGTGGGCCGGGGGCCAATGGACCGGGGATCGGGGCTAATCGGGTTGAGGCGCTAAGTGGCGCTTTGTTAGGCGTACTTTGCACTTCGAAATCAGACGATGTTCGTTGAGGTTCGTCTGATTCACAAGATCAGACGAGGTTCGCTCGTCAAATGAGGTTCGTTCGTCAAACGAGGTTCGTCCGTTCGACGAGGTTTGCTCGTCAAACGAGGTTCGCATGTTTGCCGAGTTCGCTCATCAAACGAGGTCCAGCCGTTCAACGAGGTTCGCTCGTCAAACAAGGTTCGCCTGTTTGACGAGGTTCGCTCATCAAACGAGGTTCGCATGTTTGACGAGGTTCGCCCGTTCGACGGGGTTCGCTCATTCGATGAGGTTCGTCCAACAGACGAAATTCATCTGATTTGCTGAGATGTGACCCTTGCGTTTCGTAGCAAGGCGTCCATTAATTGCCTCGTATTCAGGAGTTACTGCATGCAGCAGTTACAACGGTATTTAGAGCAATTTAATGCACTGATGTTATAATCATAATTTTCATTGTGAATTGTAACAGTCGCATTAATTGAGGGTGACTCTTAAGCTGGTCTTAGAGGCTTATAAATAGCGCCCATTGGGCAGCTCATGTAGTTTGCTAGCGAACTTGGAAAACGAACGTCGGATCTAGGAGATCTTAACGTTGTTGCTGCTATTGTGCTGCTGCTGCAGAAACTGTGCCCGCAGGAACTTACTTTGAAACCGAAAGGTTTTGAACCAAAAGGTTTTGAGATCGAGGAGATCTTTGTCTTGACCGAAAGGTCTTATAGATCGAGGAGATCTTGACAGTACTGGGTTGGTGCATACCAGAGTACTGTACTGCTGTTCCTGTAAACAGTTTGGCCTTGGGATTCTTACACCGGAGTAGGCCAAATATTGCTTTAAGCACAGCGTTTCACAAGCTCACAGCAGTGAACTAAAAAAAATTTAAAATTACAGCACATCTGTTTTCTCAGTTTCATTCTAGATTTTAACCTCAATATCCAACATGTGCAAACGTCTGTTATGGCATTCCGATATTTACCACATATCCCTGAATTTTTCCCCGATATCTGCAATCTAATATGAATTATGGTCATCCGATATGTCCCCTATAGCCGACATTGAAAACCTTGTATTGAAGTTCTTCAACCATCCTACTGTTTTGTAGTTCATAAGAAGGTGAATGACTATTACCATCTTGTTTCCATGTAATTACTACATCGGATCATATTCCATAACCCCACTGCCACGTAGTAAATTCTTCTGCTTTAAGCCACTCATGAGATGCTACTTGCCTGTACTCCTAGGTGAATGAGATTATTACACGGATCAATGGATCCTTGCATACAATAATAATGCATTAAGCTATTCACAGAAAAATCTTTATAGAGGTAATTATGTCATTAACATCTTTATTAAGCATTTTTCTGATTGAGCATGTTGAGTATTCTGCAGATTGAAAAGGTGAGGAGTGTGACAGTGATGAAACCATTTTTTGCCCTTTCTTCGAAATAGATCGTATAGTTTTCTGAGAGGCAGTTGTGCGGGTAAATTATTAAAATCAGTGGATCAACTTGATCAACACAAATATCCTTCTGTAGCTTCTCATAGTTCTTTGTGTAACAGTACTTATAGTACTCATATTAAGTTACTAACTAGTCGCGAACTATGTATAGCTTCGGCTTTTAAGGGCTGTTTGGTTCGCAAATAATTGCGATTGCAACTGTGGTCGTAGTTGCGAGTTGCAGCTGTTTATTTCACTGCGATTGAAGTGTTCTTCCAACCATTGTTGAAATTTTTGACATTTTTATAAAAACGATTAGGCATCAATTTGATTGATTAGGCATTGTATTTCTTTACAGAAAGTGACCCCTTTTTTTTATCTCTGTAAGTGAGCATTGATAACTTGAAAATTGCAACTTCTGTCATACAGGAAGAAGTTTATTTTGTTCAGTGGTCAGACATAAGCTATATATACCTCTGCACTCTAGATATGCTTCTGATTTGATCAAGCGCGCTCTTTCTCAGTTTTGGTGATAACAGTGACCTTAATTTGCGTAGAACCAAATGTATTTATTAATTCCTGGGTGTTTATTTTAGGATTAATTGCAGATGGACCCTGTACCATCAACCAACTGTAGATAGACCCCTTGTAGTTGTATTTGTGCAGAAAGATATCCTGAGCGAATCTATTATTATTATTATTATTATTTTACTCTTAGGAGAGTCAAACAAAATTTGAGGGGGCGGCGACAGATGCTCAATTGTTGAATTCTTTTGACTCTTAAGGAGGGAGGAAAAAATTCGCTAAGGGGGTCTATTCTCACTTGGGAAAATAGTACAAGGGTCTATCGACACGGTAGAACTAGCGGTCTATTTGCAATTGGGCGACGGTACAGGGGATCTATTGTATATTTTACTTCAGAAGGGTTATAGCAACATTCAGTGTCCCTTGGCAGTAGCGTGTTTAATAATCCTTAATTCCTCATGTTCACATATTATGCTTCTGATTACAGTAGTTGACTACCAAAACTTTGATCACTGATGGAGATTACGCGTTGACTCTGATCTACTGTTTGCTTTGATAACTTATCAAAAATCTCCAAATTTATAATTGGACGTGATAAGAATATTCTTTGGATTATCAGCGTAGTAGGCGACCACTCTTTAGATTTTTTTTTTTTTTTTTGAAATTTCGACGCGTATACTTCATAACTTAACTGAAATGTTTATAGCTGCAGAACAGTTCTTGGATTATTGACTTTTAAGCAGTTGCTTAGCTGGTTTCTTTTCCTGTATTTAAGTAAAATTACAGGCTCCTCAAAGCCAGTCGCGTACACGTTGTTCTTTCTTTACTCTGTGTTGATTATGATATATTGTTGTTGTTTATGAATGGTGATAATATAATTTGTAATTTTTCTGAAGCTTAAAAGAAGGGACTGATTCTTTATTATCTTTTGTTGCTCATGATAATGCTTTTTAATTAATTAATTGCTAAATCCTTTGGCTCAAGATTGTACTTTGGTTCTCATTGTGTACTGGTGGTTTGAGGCATGAAAATGGGCTTATTGTGTACTGGTGGTTTGATGTTAATTTTTGTTTTTCATAATAATATACAATTGTTCATTAATTTATTAACGATGAGAGCAATGGACCTTGTGATCTCATGGTCTTATTACACTTTTAAAACATTATAATATGTAGCATCTATATGAGATATCCACTTAAAGGTGCCCTAAAATAAAAAAGTGATTATTAAGCATCTAAAAAGTTGAAGATTTCCACTAACATGGTAAATAAAATTGTGTGACTCGCTTGCCCATATTCACCCTTCTCTCTTTTTATTTTTTTTAAGCTCATGATTGTGCTTTAGGGATCTCTCTTGCCTTTTCTTTTCTTATTATTTTGATGCAAATCTAATGCCAATGATGTTTGGACATAAATAAGTATTATGGAATATTCTTTATAGAATATCATTATCATATCACACAGAGCCATATCTAAGTTTTGCTTGATTTTGGGGTTATATATATAGTAGTAAAAATAAGATTAAAAATGTCCAAGGATTTTATTATCCTTTTCTCCTTTCCAAATTATGTGTTCTTCAGTATTGACTGCCAAAAGTAAGGAATCTATATACAATACAACAATGACGGTCCTATCTTGATACACCAAGAATAAACTACATAGCTATCACTTATGATTTACAAAGGATTTGAGAGGATGTAAGGGGTATGTTGTTCTCTATTTCAAATCGAATCTCACTTTTGCAATGTTAGACCTGACAAAGGAAACTAGCTCATTCCAAAATGAGAAGTTTGATCCTAGATATCGAACTTGTACCGATTTCCTCGATCCTTCTTCTTTGACGTATTCCACATCTCTAATGAAGCCGTATTCCTCAAATTCTGGTTCTTCAAGAAGAGGTAATGGAACCGAGCCATGGGATTCGAGGTTCTTGATCCATCCGCGCAACAAATAGTTCACAACCTGCATAAACCGAAGAATTTTTCAGTAATTTGCTCCTAAACGATCCTCAACTCCGAAATTGTTACCATCTGTAATCAAATAAAACGTGTAGCGTGAGAGATAATGTATGTAGTTGCAAGTACAAGCATGACTAAAGAAGTAAAAAAGATGGGGTTAATTGCATTTATAGCCCATGAACTGTGAGGAGGCAGCCATTTACACACCTCTAAACTACTTACTAAAAGCATGTTTGGCAATCCTAGCTTAAAATTTATGTGGTTACATAATCCATTGGTAGATTATAACCCAAATGGATTAAAATTCTAGGCGTTTGGTAAAAAGAGTGATTTATAATCTATGTGCCTTTCGATAAAATGACAAAAAAAAAAAAAATCTTAGAAGCCAGAGGCGAGAAGAGAAAAACATGAAAAAGTGACGTGTTTTTTCTGTCATTTTCTTGGTCAAACGCATGGGTTAAATTCAAACTAAAAAAGGAATCCTCGGATGTTTTTTATTGAATCCTTGGTTATTTTTTGGTGGATTACTATCCATAATAATCCACTCACCATGTCGTTACTAAACATGCAAAAATATATATAACCCAAAAAGTGGTTTATAATCCACTTTGACCAAGTTAGAAAACATGCTCTAGAACTTACACCTGTTGAACACCAGATGGCATGATTTTCCAAGCTAGGTTGATATGTCACATGAGAATCATGTAACGAAAAATTACCTTTCGCTCTCGTTTTAGCTGTAAATAGACTAAATTGTCCTCTGATTTTGGGCAAAAATTAACATCGTCTGAAACTATCAAATTATACTTAACAGTCTTATCTAGAAACTGTCATGAATGTATTAACTTATTTCGAGTGACTTGCATCCATTTGAGGATACAAATGTCTGGTACTAGATTGGTTTGGCCCCACATCAGCTAGAGCAACAAATACATACTAGAGGGGTTCCCAGGTTCAGGTATTGTGCCTAAGCTTATTAGATCCATCATAACATCAAATGCACATAAGCTTTATTAGCTCCATCATAACATCAAATGCTCATAAATATGCTTCCAAAATCATCGTGCATCTTTTTCCTGCTGCAGTTTCTGCCGAGTACATAAAAAACTATGATCAGGAAAGAACCTAATTCTGGCAATTTGTATGTTGCTCATATGAATATGCGACTAATCATATACGATTGGGTTGTTGCCATACATTCAAGAAATTAATTTTGGTAATATGATTCATGAAAAGTGGCTTCTGTTATAAAAGAGTATAGCATGTCTCATCTAATACACATTTTCAAGTTAAGCAACAATTTACGTGTTTGCGACTGCGGGACACAGAAATGGGTTTTGTATCTTGGAGTGTCGGACATTCCTATTTGCAGAAATAATGATGGATCAAAATTGCAGAGATAATGATAGATTAATTTACAACTAAAGGTCCATTACAGTGGAAGGTCGAAATTCAAATAATCGCATACCTCAGGAACCTCATCATGAGGGCAGTGACCTGCAGGACTAATCTCATAATATGGTGCTTCTGGAAATTGTTGTTTCACTTTCATGCCCCAAACAGGCCTAACCCAAGGGTCCTCTTTACCGTACATGAGACAGATGGGAATATTTTGCAGTTGACACCTAGAAGTGTATATGATGTAAGTAACCATAGAGGAAATAATAGAATACGAAGATGTTACTTTCAATACCTATTCAGAGCTTCCTGGAAGGAGAGCTCGCCTTTGGGAGAAAACATAATGGAAGCAAAAGATGCAGCTGCTGCAGGGTGTTGAGTTGTCTCGATGATGCGGGAGAAAACTTTGTCAACCTTTGTTGAATGATCAGCATATACTTGTCTCAGTATCTCCTCTATGCTACTAGGGTCGCTTATTTTATGCCATCTACACCAAGAAAAAGAATAGCTCAATACATTTGTATTAAATTTAGGTGGACAATATAAACAAATAACCTTCAAATTGAATTCATAGGTAAGATAGAACTGATATATATCAATGTAGGAGATATGAATAAAATTTAAACTAAACTAACTCTACCTACACGAGCTGGGTGAGCTTTTTAACATTTGAAGGTAGAGGAAATGTGCCAGCCCATGGAAAAATTTTGGCCAACCTTGGCGACCTGATAGGATTAGGAAGGAATCCCCAAAATGGTGTTGCATTAAGCAATGTAACTCCTTTCACGAGCTCAGGTTTACACGCTGCAAAGTATAGAGCGACATAGCCACCAAGTGAGTTGCCCACAACATAAACAGGTTCACCAATAACCTGTCGCAGGAAATGTGAATTAGAATGTAAGCTTAACTTTTTATGCGAGCTTCAGCATATATATAAATAAAGTTATAAACACATATCAGCTATTTTTCTTCAGTATCCCTAAAATAATAAAACAGAACTTTTTTATGGAATAAAGGCATGGTCAACAACATAGTATTGTGGTAATACAATGAAATTTTTGGCTGCGTACCCTCAGGTGGAGTCAACTAAATATAGGATTTTTCCATTTAACACTAATTTTTTTTAAAAAATTCATTAAGTAAATGGTTATCTTTGGTATGCCACTTATTCAAAATAGAGGTGTTGATACTCATACTTCCCCATATTATGTTGACAACATGTCGTAAAGTATGACACTTTTGTATCAGTGATCAACTTATTCCATGTTAAGGAAGTTCATCAGTTAAATGAGGCAAATCAAAATTGTAAATTTATGCTTTCTTCACCACTAACTACTAGATTAACCTACATGGTACTGTAGGATTAGAACTATACCTTTGTTCAAATTCCATCATAAACATGAATTCCACCCTTCTCCATTCTATTGCAATTCTGTCTATGGTTCTTTTCTAGAAAAAATGCTGTGACATGTCTGCATGCATGGATTTGTGTGTATTTGGGAAAAGGAAAGAGTTAGAAAGATGGGCAAATTAAAAGTTTTCAACTCAATACTTAATAGCCGAAGATAATTGGGAATTGGACTTAAAGGTATAGAGACATCCAATCTCAACAATTAACATAAAGACTTTGTCAATATGTCATGGCTCGCACTCTCTTCTTTACAGAGATATTTTGAAGGGCTTCTTTTTGCCTCTTCCACAAATTACAAGTTCAAATGTTAAGGAACTCTGAAACTGAAATCAGAAAGATAGAAGTAAAAGGAGACCTCTTGGAAGAAAATGGTAAGAAATGCAATTTAGTAGCCCCCTGTCCTTGCTAAAAGTTTTTAGTAAACCGCCAGGTGCCAAAAGACTCATTCTATCGTGAAATTTTAAGATAATGTCCTGACCAGGACTCTTCATCCATACAAAACCTCTATAAACGTTTGACATGCTTTAACCTACTTTTAACATTAACGTTGCTGTTAAACCCGGGTTATTTTTGAAGTGTTAAAGTACAATATATTATAGGAAATATTACTGGCATCTATGCTGAGCTCCTCATGATGCATACTACCGTATTAAGCTGTCCTTAGTGCATATCGTACATAGAATGTATCCATTAGCATTCTGTTATTCAGCCATATCCTATTAGAGAAATATTGGCTTGCAATGTACATGTGAGCTCTATATTTATATAATCCCTGCAATTAGCAAAGAGTACCTGCTCAACAAAATCCTGAACTTGCTCTTGCCACAAATCAATGGAATAAGCCAACTCATTCGCCCACGGCTGAGATTCATCTCCAAACCCCCACACCATCTCTCTATCTTCGGAGCTGCTTCTCTGCATATTCAATGGAGTAGGATCTTCTGAAGGCAACGACATTCCTTGTCCTAAGAAATCCAACGTCCAAACCTTATACTCACGGCCGAGATCTTTCAATTGCTTCTCATAATGAAAAGTCCCAACCCCAAAACCGGGAAGAAATAGAACATTTGGTGCACCAACCTTTTTGACCCCAGATTTTTCATAATGAACTGTTAAATTTGGTTTCCATTCCCAAAAACCGCTATTAATTGGAGAACCATTACTGCCATCGGATTCATTGGGCAAGCCTGGAATCCAGATCTTTGAGACCTCGTCAGATTTCTGTGGGATAGTTCGTAGCCCCACACTTCCATCAGTCGCATGGTAATGGCAATTATCTGCAGCTTTAGGAGTAGATAAGTTCCGGATTCCTTGGAGAAAACCCAGTAATTTGAGGCCTTCTTTCTGATAGAGATTTTTGGTTGTATCACTGTTTTGATTGGATATTCGTAAAGAGCAAGAGAGTTTCGTCCCAGAAAATAAAATTCCAGATCTTCTGTGGATAAAGAGATTAGAATTTTTAATGTCCGGGCTGCTACCCACGAACTTCCAAGTTAGACTACTGAAAGAAGGGATCGAGGAATGACTTGAGAGCGATTCCATGTCATGAAAAACAACCTAGTTTCTCTGTAGTAATTGCAAAGAGTTCAATGAAGGAATAAAAATTAACAGTTTATGAACAAATATTTATAAGGATACGAGGCATCAAATTATATTTAAAAAAAAAGGAATGTATGCAGAGAGCTCCAAGTTATTCCCGTCCCGTTGAGTAATTATGATTGGAGCATATAATCTAGAAGATGTAACTTTCGCCATCACTGAACAAAATCCGCTTGTATCAATGACTTCTCACTAGACTGCTAAAATCAAACTTAGCTTTGAAAAGACGAGTCCCATCGAAACACCCCAGGGAAAAACAAATAAAAGATACATATCTACTTATATTTGACATACTAAAAGGAGGATAATAGGGATAGATAATATCTATAAAAAAGAAACAAGAGGTATTTCATTAATCTCTGCAACAAAAGGAGGCAATGAAGAATGGTATTATGGTTTTTTCTTCAAATTTAAACCTGACAAAAGACTGAAGCACTATCAAAAGCAGAAGTTAAAGTCTCAGGGGGCCATTCTATCAAATAAGCTTGAGGTAGAGGGAGGGGAAAAAATTTTCAAGCACATAGATACGAGCAATCACTATACTTAACCAAGTTACGTAGTCATGTCAAAACTAAGCCACGCCATTTGGTGGTGCAGAAAATAGAAAGCATGCACATTCATATCGTTAGGAAATTCGATGCAGTAAGAACCAACCATCCAATTACTAAAGTAGTTATATCGATGGATCTAGCGCAATGTTAGTCACCAAGATCCTCCAATTTCCTTAAACAAACACATTCCCAGTTTATTAATCTTCCCTCTTATCTCTCCCATGCTAAAGTCTGTAAACTGCCTGAAATGAAGGAGACCAAGCTACTCCCCAGTGTCAAGTACTTTCCTATCTCTCTCATGTCTTACTTTCAAACTTAAGGACAAAATGCAATTGAAAAGAAACTTTGTAGTCAAGGTGAAATCTAAAGAAACATAGGGAAACTATTCCTGATCTTCCTAGTTTCATCGATATATGACAATATTTGACATTTATTCTGTTACCAACAGATAACAGAAGCCAAAAGGATCACAAGCTATTTTGGGGACAATGGCAAGGTAAAAACCCATTTAGTCAAGGAAAATGATCAGTAAAGGAAACCATTAGAAGGTTGCTTACCCCAAAAAATGACTGAATAAAACCGGATACGATAGTAATTACCCAGGTCCTTGAATGCTAGCCTATACAGATTTCTAAAACAATGGCAAAAAAACATAGAATCATGAACAAATCCATTAGCTCAAGACTTCATCAATTGCTACCATTGTTGGGAAATAGCCTTGCATTTCAACCTTAGAAGACATTGGAAGAGTAGAAATCAAAGCGGGAGGTGAAACGAAGTGAAACGGCGACGACAGGCAGGGGAACGGGTCAGTCTGCCGGTCAGACCGGTTTGGGCAGTTTCATAATTTGGGTCTGTTTTCGAATTCTATTCAGGTTAACGGCTCTTATCCGGTCATATGTCCGGCTTTGGGGCATTATACAAAAGGTCTTCCAGGCCCAGGGACGTGAGGAATTGAAGTCGATGAGAGTTGCTTATTGTAAAAAAACAATGTAGAGAGAACTAAGGAGAGAAATCTTGGGTTTCAATGCAGCACACCATCTCTTTATCAACTTACAACAAACTGCATTATGTCAATCTATGAGGATAAGTGAAGGCATCATTAAGAGCCTTTGCAACAGGTCATAAAACATCTGTCAAGAAACTTGAGTGCTCGACCATTGACATCACTATATCATTAACTAACCCAAAGCATACTTAACAAATTTCTAGAACAATGACAAAGACAGAATTACGAACATATCTAGCAGCCTAACCTCGTTTATTTAAAATGATACAAAGATGGGGGTATAAGATTCACCTATGGTGTGTTTGGGAGTTTACTAAGGGAAGTGAAGGAAAGTTAAACAACGGGAAGGGAAGAGAAGGAAAGGGAAAAGAATTGTAATATGTTATTTGGGAGTTGAGTAAGGTGAATGAAGGTGAAAGGAAGTAAATACATGTAAATTTACATAAATGACTTTATACTAATAACACATCAGCCATTTTATTTGTTTTGATGGGGTAAGAATGTTATTACCCTCCTTTACCCTCCTCTACCGCCCAAATCGGGGGGAAAGAAAACCAAGCAATTTTACCCTCATTTCCCCTTCCTTCCTCCTCTCTACCCTCCTTAAAAAAACTCCCAAACAAGATGAAAGCCGCATTTCTCTTCCCCTCCTCCTCTCTACCCTCCATCCAAATAGGGCCCTACTGCAAACTAAAATTATGCCAAAAAAAGAAAAGAAAAAAAATTAACAGGTTCAAAAGGATCTATATGGGTGGTCAGTAGATAGGCTGCAGATACACAATTTAAGAAGAATATATCCACGAAATTAGATGAAGGCCCCCAAATAAAGAGCTTAAATTTTGATCACTGCCCAGTTCCAAAAAAAAGAGTTTTCAAATTATGTATTTATTAACTACTAGTATTTTTCAGAAATCCTTAGTAGCGTAGCGAAAAGTTAAAGTTTTGATATCTCATAGGTCATGTGTTCGAAGTTTGCCAACGGCAAGCCGAGAATTATTTTTATTTAATCAATCCCTCATAAGTTTTAGTGGGTCGTGGGCCGTGAGCCGTGGGCCATAAGCCGTAGGTCAATGGATCGGGGTCGGGGCTAATCGGACTGAGGCGCTACGTTACGCTTTGTTAGACGCACTTTGCACTTCGCAAGAAAGCATCGGGGCTAGGTTGCACCACGTTGGCTGCCTCGTAGTCTGCTTCGTAGCATGCAGACGAGCCTCGCGTTCGCATGAGAGTGTGACCCTCGTGTTGCGCAGGATCGCGACCCTCGCGTTCAGACGTTACTGCATGCAGTAGTTACAGCATTTATGTTATTTGTCGTTACAAATATAATTGTCATAATTGCCAATATGTTTGTAACGGTCAAATTAAAGTGGGTGCCCTTTGAGCTGGTCTTAGAGGCCTATATATAGTGCCTCTTGGGGAGCTCTTGGACACAAGATAAAAAAAAGATACGAAAAACACGCAAGTGTTTTGTGCTGTTGTGTTGTTGCTGCAGAGTCTGAAAGCGTGAAAGTATTAGTCTGTGCCCGAAGGAACATAGCTCTGAACCGAAAGGTGTTTACAGATCGAAAGATCTTTGTCTAAACCGAAAGGTTTTAACAGATCGAGGAGATCTCTGCCTGAACCGAAAGGTTATTGAACCAAAATATTTTAACAGATCGAGGAGATATTTACCTTGATCGAAAGGTCTTATAGATCTAGGAGGTCTTAACGCTACCGGGTCGGTGCACAACAGAGTACTGTACTTTTGTTCCTGAAAACAGTTTGGCTTTAGGATCCTTGCACCGGAGTAGGGTAAATATTGTTTTAAGCACAACGTTTCATAAACGTACAGTAGCTAAACTTAAAAAAATTTTAAATTACATCATTTCAGTTCTCACTGTTTTATTACTTATTTAGCCACAGACTTCAACAGACAGCACTATATCATTAGCTAACACAAAGCATACTTAACAAATATCTAGAACGATGACAAAGACATAGAATTACGAACATATCCAGTAGCCTAACCTTGTTTATTTAAAATGATACAAAGATGGGGGTATAAGATTCACCTACTGCAAACTAAAACTGTGCCAAAAAAAGAAAAGAAAAAAAAACTTACAGGTTCAAAATGATCTATATGGGTGATCAGTAGATGGGCTGCAGATACACAATTTAAGAAGAATATATCCACGAAATTAGATGAAGGCCCCCAAATAAAGAGCTCAAATTTTGATCACTGCCCAGTTCCCAAAAAAAAAAAAAACACATGACCCCAGAGCTACACTTAGATTGAAAATCAAAGCTCATTAAAAAAAAATTAGACAAGAGAATCAGTGACAAGTGATCTCACCTATTGCTTGCCTTTCTCTCTCTAGAATCTAGAGAAGTAGAAATTTATGAGCAAATAACTTAATAGTCAGAGAGAGGGAGGGAGGGAGGGGGAGAGAGATAAACGTGAGTCGTGGGTCAATGGATCGGGGTCGGGGCTTATCGGACTGAGGCGCTACGTTACGCTTTGTTAGACGCACTTTGTACTTCGCACGAAAGCATCGGGGCTAGGTTGCGCCACGTTGGCTGCCTCGTAGTCTGCTTCGGAGCATGCAGACGAGCCTCGCGTTCGCATGAGAGTGTGACCCTGGTGTTGCGCAGGATCGCGACCCTCGCGTTCAGACGTTACTGCATGCAGCAGTTACAGCATTTATATTATTTACCGTTACAAATATAATTGTCATAATTGCCAATATGTTTGTAACGGTCAAATTAAAGTGGGTGCTCTTTGAGCTGGTCTTAGAGACCTATATATAGTGCCTCTTGGGGAGCTCTTGGACACGAGATAAAAAAGAGATACGAAAAACATGCAAGTGTTTTGTATTGTTGTGTTGTTGCTGCAGAGTCTGAAAGCGTGAAAGTGTTAGTCTGTGCCCGAAGGAACATAGCTCTGAACCGAAAGGTGTTTACAGATCGAAAGATCTTTGCCTGAACCGAAAGGTTTTAACAGATCGAGGAGATCTCTGCCTGAACCGAAAGGTTATTGAACCGAAATATTTTAACAGATCGATGAGATCTTTACCTTGATCAAAAGGTCTTATAGATCGAGGAGGTCTTAACGCTACCGGGTCGGTGCACAACAAAGTACTGTACTTTTGTTCCTGAAAACAGTTTGGCTTTAGGATCCTTGCACCGGAGTAGGGTAAATATTGTAGTACTGTACTTTTGTTCCTGAAAACAGTTTGGCTTTAGGATCCTTGCACCGGAGTAGGGTAAATATTGTTTTAAGCACAACGTTTCATAAACGTCAGTTTGGCTTTAGGATCCTTGCACCGGAGTAGGGTAAATATTGTTTTAAGCACAACGTTTCATAAACGCAGAGCAGCTAAACTTGAAAAAAGTTTTAAATTACAGCGTTTCAGTTATCACTGTTTTATTACATATTTAGCCACAGACTTCAACAGACAGCACTATATCATTAGCTAACACAAAGCATACTTAACAAATATCTAGAACGATGACAAAGACAGAGAATTACGAACATATCTAGCAGCCTAACCTCGCTTATTTAAAATGATACAAAGATGGGGGTATAAGATTCACCTACTGCAAACTAAAACTGTGCCAAAAAAAGAAAAGAAAAAAAAATTACAGGTTCAAAAGGATCTATATGGGTGATCAGTAGATGGGCTGCAGATACACAATTTAAGAAGAATATATCCACGAAATTAGATGAAGGCCCCCAAATAAAGAGCTCAAATTTTGATCACTGCCCAGTTCCCAAAAAAAAAAAAAACACATGACCCCAGAGCTACACTTAGATTGAAAATCAAAGCTCATTAAAAAAAAATTAGACAAGAGAATCAGTGACAAGTGATCTCACCTATTGCTTGCCTTTCTCTCTCTAGAATCTAGAGAAGTAGAAATTTATGAGCAAATAACTTAATAGTCAGAGAGAGGGAGGGAGGGAGGGGGAGAGAGATAAATGCTGGGGACTGGTGATGATGGGTTCCACAGTCCGTGGAGCCATTCGC